ATGAAGAGTAAATTTAAAATGAAGGAAATGTAAATGAAAGACAGAAGAAGAGGAGGACTGGAAACAATACGAAAAAATCGGCAGTGAAAACGTAAGAAAAATTACTTGGGGGTGTGTTGTGATGTCCATGAAAAACCTGAGGAGACATGTCGTTCCTCCTTTTACTTCCGGAGAATGCTGCCATGGGGTCCGTGTAATAACCGAACCTAGGCAAATTGTGCTGATTTGGAGAGGCAGTGGCTGTTTCATTTTCAATCAAAGGGTTCAAAAGGGCTCCATATGCCGACCCTGGACTCTTGGAGTCGGCATAAGCTCCCGTCTGGGAAGCTTCCATCCGCATTACCTTTAGCCTTTCTTTTCTTTTCTCGGATTCTTCCATTATCAACTCAATGCCTTAAACACGTATCGGAACCAAACACTGCAACACAATCAATTTTCTCAAATTGTTCATATCTTCAAGGCCAACGAAGAAAAAAGGAGTTACAAAAGATACCCATCAACCAAATCATGTTAAGAGTTAATAAAATCAACACTAGCAAGAACTGCATAGAGATTGATCAAAAGCCAACTATGTACTAATGACAGGAAAAAATTTCCCTCCCTAGGAGAACAATACATGAACAGATGACCAGCAAAGAATGAGCTTGCGCTTGTACTTTAATTATCTGAAACAACTAAAACACTCAACTAACTGTCAGGCAGTTTTGTTAAGCATTTATGATCCGAAAAGAGGCAAGTGGCAACGAGGGTAAATATATAAAATCCTGTTGAGGCCACAACTTAACTGACACGGCAAATTAATCCTTCAGAAGGTAGATAACAAATAATAATCACTATATAATATATATTGGTCATAAATTCGATGTTAAGTGAAATGACTGCTCATAACTCAGGTAAACAACAAAAGGCTTCATACGTCCAGACATAAAGTATGGTTGTCGTGGAATGATCAAAAACAACAATAGAGGACGTTTAAAACAAGAATCAAAGGATTAATGATTTGGAGTTGCATACAGATATGGAACAGTTAAATTTCAGCGGACATTTTTTGAAAGAATAATTTGTCCTGTTCTCTTATCAAGTCTCACTTTAAGTAACGTTTTTTAAATCCAGTTAACACAACCAGGCACCAGTTAGCACCAATTTGGCCATGTAAATGTCAAATTTCTTATTCCTTCTAACATTGCCTCAAGTAATGCATTCAAAATGTCGACGATGCTAATCAGAGAACTAACAGTGAATATTCATCTGGAGCATAAAAGAATATCCCTACTTGATAGCTGATCACATGGCCACTGTACTGAAGTTGATGAAACTCTATTTACATATGAGTAGAAGTGTTTTTCACGTGGTGTGTAAAAGCTACAAGCACCAACCAAATACTCCTTCCAACACAAGGATTATGACATGATTATCCTCTAAATACCCCATATGCGAGAATAAATGTGATGCTAGTAATTACATTAAAATTAGGTATAAACAATATATTTGTCCCCCTTACCTCTGGTTACACAATCCGGTAGTTCAGAAGTCAATAACATGGGTTATGAAATTTAGCAAGATAAAAAAATATCAACTGACATTTAATCAATTGATTCTTGCAGATAAACCTCGGGCTGTGAAAACTTCATACTCCTATATATATGGAGAAAACCGAATGATTGCATGCCAATTAAGAGAGAACTTGAGATTTGTAGGTTGGTAACAAAACTCGTTACTAGCATTCCTATAAAAAAAAATTACATGCCTTTTGAAAACAGCAATTAAATGGAGCTAACCAATGTTCAACACAAAAGATAACACCAACTGCCAAAATTAATCAGGATTAGTGAATAGGGCAAAATTGGGAGTTCTGATAGTAGAGGAGCTAAACGTGTTAATCAACCGAAATACAAAGGACACAAATTAGTCGAGGTAAACGAACAAATTTGAGGTCGATGCAAAGGGTTTTCATGCCTTACCGTGATTATGCTGCCGGTGAACGAAAAATTCAAAAGCTAGGGTTTATTTTATGGTACGAATGGTGAAGCAGGGAACTGGAATGATCACTCTGCTCCTTGGGCCATTGAATTCTTTCTCTGTGTTCCGATCTCGAAAATTTATTTATGAAATTTGGAGGTTTTGTTGCCCCTTCTCTAACTTAAAAAAACGAGGGCACTTTACTTTGTGGGAATTAGCTCAAATAACCCATTCTACATCACATTTTGTTTAAATGACCCTCAAGTCAAAAACCCTTATAAAAATTAATAAGAAATCATATTAATTCAAAACTTACCAATGTACCCCTCAATAAACGGTCTTTTTTCTTCTCCTTACTTCTTCATTCCCGCACATAACTACCTGCTCTCTGTAACCTCTCGCTCTCTCGGCTCTCTCTCGGCTCTCTCTCTTACGCTCTCTCGGCTCTCTCGGTTCTCTCTTTCACGCTCTCTCGGCTCTCTCTCTCCTGGAACTCTCTATTGTCAATGTTGGTAAGAAATTTTTTTAGGGTTCATTTTTTTTAGTTTTTCGTAATTTTTTTATGGTAAGGGTATAATGATGTTGAACCCTTTGTATTTAGAATTATTTTCCAAGCATGCTAAATTTATTAATTTGAAGAAGAAAAATGAGTTTATGTGTTATGTGTTAATTGAATAAGAAGAATGATGTTGAAGAAGAATTTATTGATATTGTGGATATTTTGTATTGTATTGTGTTTAAAGAGATGAAAGTGGGGTTAATTGTTCAATATGTGTTATGCATGAAAGTGAGGTTAATTGTTGAAATGCTTGTAGGATTGAGTTGGTGAAATTGTGCACTTTATGTGTTTGATGAAATGCTTGTAAGGTGAACTCTATGTGTTTGATGAAATGATTGTAGGATTAAGTTGATCAATTGAAAATAACGAGACTTCTATGTTTGTAATGTAATATATAACGAATGTACATTCGTTATAGGAATTAAGGAAACGACTATATTCTTGTAAATGAAAGAGAAGGCTTGGGTGGTATATTTTCTGTCATGTGGCGACCTTACATGCTGAGCCATGTTATGTGTATATTTTTGCCTTGACTCTATGTTGTGTTAAGGCTTTGTTGTGGCTTTTAGAACCTAGGATCCAAAATGTTCCTTTATCTTAAATCGTCTTTGTTTAAAAATATAAAAAAAGGGATAAATTGGCATGCTTCCTATTGTTTTGTTCGCAATGTATACATGTATGGTATATCTCTTGAATTGATGTTAGTATTTAAGGATTTTAGCATTGTGTCATAGGTTATTCTTCTAAGTTTCAATTTGTAAGAGATGTGCATGTTGAGTAGTATTTGACCTTGTTAGAATGAAATATTTTAAGGCTGTTGCATGTATGAGTTTTGATAAGCCAATATTTCGTCAAGCTTCAGTTTAATAGCATGCTTTAAGGTTGTTAAGTTCAAAGATTAAAAGAAGCTCTATATAGAATAAAGAATCATTTTATTAGTATCCTTTAGAAATGAGTTAACTTATAACTTTAACGAGTAAGATATCGTCATAATGTATTATATTGTGAATGTATAGGTGTATTTAATTGACCGAGATAAAAATATACCTAAAATGAAGATTCATTTGTCATGGTGTATGAAATAACGAATGTACATTCTTATGTATTAAATTAAAACCAATAACGAGAGTACTTTACAATAATTGTTATAGTAATTTTGGAAACGACATTATATACCTAATTTAAGTTCCTTGTTTGATCTATTTAAGTTCAGTGTTAGTACTTATTGCTTGTTTGATCTATTATGACTTATGTTGTCTTTCTTTTCTGTTTTTAGGAACCAAAAAGGAATATGCGTTTGATATACCTTTCAAATGCAAAGCAGTCGTGACCAATCGGTGCAACCTCAAAGTTGTCCATGAAGTATTTGACAACCTAGACAGTGCACATAAAGATCGATTTGTAGTAAACAAATATATTTTAAAACAAATGCTGGGAAGAATGTTGAAGGCGTAGATCAATCTCAGATTAGTGTTTAGCGTGTAAAATTAGCGGCTGAAATATTTGGTGCTCATTTTGATCCATAGGTTGTTTTAAACATTCAATATGTAACGGGTTGTGGGGATCTTTTGGATAATACAATTTTGTATTATTTTTCATGTGTTTTTCAATGCAATTATGGGGGTAGTCGATTTTTTAAGTTGTATTTTTTACGTACTTCCTAATGCAGTGATTATAATAGTATTTTATCAAAATGGTTAAAAATATTACTATAACGAGAAGTTTTAATGTAATAAATAACGAAGGGGTTCGATGTCAAGCTCCCGAAAATAAGTCGAGGAAGGATTACAAGTCGTTTAAAAAATAACGAATGTACAATCGTTATTTTTTATGAAATAACGATTGTACATTTGTTATTTAGAAAAGTAAGATCTTCTGCAACAAACTATCTTCTGTCGCGGCCGCGACACATATCACTGGCGCGACAAAGGTAGAAATCGCGAGAGCGATAGACGTCGCTGCCGCGACGTTCTTGTCGGGCTCTCTGCCCAACATAAAGGGTGTCAGTGTCGCGCCCGCGACGTCCTGGCACCATTTCTGTAAGCGTCAGAGTCGCGCCCGCGACATCCTGGGAATGGCTCTGTCATTGTGAGTGTCGCGACCGCGACAACCTTCGCGCCCATGACGGCCTGGAACGACAGTTTT